TGGGCTCTCTCTGGCCACTAAGCCTGCTCCTTTGGACAATTCGGAGATTTGTGCCACAGAAGCTTCGCGATCAGACCTGATGGTGCATGTCTAGTCCATTTCATGCACAGTTGGAGGCAAGCCAAACCCCAAAACTCCTGACCTGTGACGGCACGCCACTCAGTCCCTCCCTCCGTCCGAGAGCACGTGGGCCCAGGTACGGGGTTACCAGAGGAGCCTCGTTGATTCCCAGGTAGCTGTCCCACAGAGCCAGTGACGGTGTGCCTGGGTTTGTGTCTCTACTCACAACAAATCTCTTCAGGAGCTGACAGGCAAACAAACATACATTCGCACACAATCATACACGTGCACACACCCACGCATGTGTGCACACATTCATGTGCACATATACATGACACAGGCATGCATGTGTTTGTGCACATAGATAACACACATGCAAACCACAAACATGCACACATGGACATACACAGGAATGCGCAAGTGCACCTGCACAAATACATATACAAGCACACGTGTACGGTGTGCAGACATGCATGTTAATGCATTCATCCCACACATATATATGCATAGATGCATGCATGAACACCGCAAGGGGGCCCACAGCTAGGGGTCAAGGACACACAGCCATCAAGAATCAAACCCTGACTCCACTCCACTGTCCAGGGTTCAGTAGGTGCCCGGCCGGCTTTCAGTAGCTGGACAGGTGGACATGTTAGCTGACATGGCTTCACTTTCTCCAGCAATGGCAACTTTCACCTGCAGGGCACAGCAGGGAGCTGACCACAGAGGTAAGACTGCCATCCTCTGTCCACTCAGCAACCTGATTTTGAGCCTGCCAGCATGCGCCCCCACAAGGACCAGCTTTCCTGAGCCACACTCAGGGGCTGGAGCTTCCAGCCTGGGCTTAAGGGTGGGCATAGGTCCCCCCATCCTGGGGCTCCCTCCTCCTCCCCACCCCCCCACTCTGCCTGGACTCCTGGAGAGTCACAGCCCAGGGGCCACACACTCAACCTTTGCAGGCCAAGCCCCCACGTAGCACTTTTCTGATGGAGGACTGCTTTCTTCTTTCTTTGCTGTAGAGTTTGTTTTTAGAGCAGTGTCGGGTTCGCAGGGAGCTCTGGTGCCTTAGTGTCTGTGTTAGGCTGCTAACCTCACGGTAAGCAGTTCAAAACCCCCAGCCGCCCCGAGGGAGAAGGACGAGGCTTTCTGCTCCCACAAAGAATCACCGTTTCAGAAACCCGGGGGACATTTTTCTCTGACCCATGGGGGGGGTCTCTGTGAGTTGGCATTGACTTGATGGCAGTGACCTGAGTTGGAGCAGGACCCACATGCCCCTCGGACCCACCCATTGCCGTAGGGTCACCGGGACCCTACAAACTTCCCCCTGGGGCTTCCCAGACTGTAAAGCTTTATGGAAACAGCCTCCAGACCAGCAGAGTGATGGGGGGTTCAAACTCCGAACGTGCACCTCTGGGTGCCCCAGCCCCCAAGTCTGCACAGATGTGCCCTGTGCAAGTACCCAGCAGACCGGCTTTGCTGTTCTCGGGAAGTCACTTGGACCCTTCCTCTCTGCAGTGAAGGCGACCGTGGTGCCCTTCCCCA